AAATGCTCATGATTAAGTGAACTCAATGAGAAGCAGAAGGTACTTGGAAGGCAATACACTTGCAATGACTTACTCAATGTGGCGAAGGTTCAAATGGCTCGTTGGCCTGATGCCAGTGTTGCGAAATCCCATCCACATACCGGCAATGCATGGTGGTGCGCGACACCTAATTTTCTTCTGGCTGCAACAGCTCACCAAAAAGGAATCGTCAGAGTTCAGACTATTGAATGATTACTAAAATTTCTGGGAAAATGCTTTGTCTAGCGAACGATGCGCCGAGACGCCACAAGTGTGTATCATAATTTTATTTTGGCTGTTACAGCACATTAAAAGGTTTTCTCTAGAACTCAACTATATCGTTAGAATCGCCTATTTGCGCTATCAACTAAGCTACAAAACAACTCAGAAATAAAGAAAACGTCTTACTTTCAAAGGGGTGCGGATAACAGCAATAATTCGAATGTGTGAAAAGCCAATCTTCTTCTGATCATTACAGAGCTCTAAAGAGTCCTTTCAAGAAAACAAGTACACTGCTGAAATTGGTAAGATTTTACCTATCTAATGATCAAAATTTAATCTCAAATAGCCTCTATTCGACGAGAAATCCCCGAATGCGAAACAAAATCTTATTTCGACAGTTACAGCGCCAAAAACAAGCAATCTGAGTAGTAAATCATACCATTCAAATTCACTTGATTTGAGTAATCGAATGACTGCCAAAACGTTTCACAAAAGCCAAAAAGTACATTTATACCGAAGACATGTAATGGGGTAATGATAACGGAAAAGTATACAACATTTCCACCGGAGAAAGTGACAAAATACTGAATGATATCCACAAGAATTCCCTTTATTTCACCGCTTTAGTAGCAGTTTCACGGTGTTATAACTATGTATCCAAGAATGTTAGGCGACATACAGAACTTTGAACCTCGCGCAAGAGTTGAACCCGTGTCTCACTGTTTCCGGACGCGCGTGCCAACCACTGTACTACTAGGGCTTCCGCGCTGCCATCGCTCTTACTGCATAATAGTTGATAAAAGCAGTCTTCTTGGCACTTTTTTTATCAATTGTCCCCGTTATTTGGCGCCAACGGCGCTATGAAGTGCTGTGTAATAGGGGTCGGTGGGGTGAGTTCCACTGAAACACAACGGAAGGAAATATCGCCAATCGTTGTAATGGGCTCTCTACACTGCTTCATACCATGTACAAGGCTTCTTTATTTCACCGCTTTGTGTTGTGATATTATAATTATGAAATCCATGAACTTTGAATGATAATGAGGACTTTGTTAATTCCCAAAAAAACGCCTCTGAATGACTGAGACGCGGGTTCAACTCCCAGCCGAGGTTCCAAGTTTTTCATATCATTTAGTAGTTTTGCTTCATACCAGTTTGTTCGATTTCTTCACGGAAGACATGGAAGAAAGATTTGATGCTCAGCGAATCCCTAGAGCGAGGAGGACCCACTGGGGTACTCTTGCACGCGATGGGGAAAAATGTAAGTATTGCTGGTACTCCTTCGAGTCACTCGACGATCAACGCGACGACAGGTGATACAAGTGATAATGGCGCGTGTAAATAGTTTCGCCTGCGCCAGCTCTATATAAGGGCTGGGTTCCTCTGAGACGACAGGTGATACGTGATACCAGTTTGTCAGCCAGCAACAGACTTGCCAGAATGAGGAAAGGGCTTCCGATTTTGAGCTTAATTGCCATCGAAGGAGATTTTTTAATGAACTTTGAGCCTAACGATATTCTAATGAGCAGAGTTGAAGCATTCATCTTTGCAACTGCTTAAGCGATACTTGGTATTTCTCAGTACTCATCACAAATGCTACTCTGTTTTCGTGATATAAATAGTCTACAAGGAATCTTTTTCTTATCCGTTTTTATAGCAGTGTTATAATGTCACGGCCATATATCCCTTACGAAACCGTGGACCCACGGCCTCTGTGTCTTTAACATTCAACGTGTTGCGCCTAACAATGGCGTCTAATGGCGTCTGCCATTGTTAGACGCAGCACGCTGGGGGTTAGAGCCATTGTTAGACGCAACACGTTGAATATTAGAGACGCAGAGGCCGTAGGTCCCACGGTACCCTAAAGGTTATTCAAGGATGCTAAGTGATATGCAAAGCTCAGAACCTGAGACGGGACTTAGATCCACCGCTCACCGTTACGGGGGCGTTTGCTAACCACTACATTACCGAGAGCACTAAGTTCAGTTAAAGTGATTTTTAGGCACTTTAGACACTTTATTAACCGTCTTCACAGTGTTTTTTTTTCACTGTACAAATCCTAGTACTTCTAACATTCAGTAGGTTTTCGTTTTTGTTAAACGTCGTAGAATACTGGTCGAATACGTTTCCTTGAAATCTCGAGGATAGACTAGCTGTGGCTTTCCATAAGCCGTTCGTTGTTGACTGCCGAAGAGTGTTGGGGGGGGGGGGGGGTAGGGATCAGCCCTGCGTACGCCGCGACGAGCATCATAACCATTCGGCCACGGCGCCTCCATTGAAATGATAGCTATTGGATAGCTATCCATAAAAGCTAGAGAGGATTAGGCTTGCGGCGTTGATCAATCCCTGAGAGGTGCGCCATGTATTGGACTTCGCCAAGCAATTTTTGAGGTGATCTGAATGAATATCTGGCCTTCTATAGTGCCTCGCAGGTAGCCTACCGATGCATCAAGTCAGTGCTGCCATCCGATCCTCTAGGTAAGTCTTGTACCAAATCGCCGACTCCCAAGGGATGAAAGGTTCCGTGAGCCTTGGAGCGGAATCGAATCATCTGGCATTGATTGATCGAACCCCTGCGTGTCGCAAAGTACCCCTAATCGCTGCGCCACACGCACTGTGGTACTAATACTCTGTAATAATTCGAAAATTCTTAAATTTACCGCTTCTTATAGTAGTGTTATGACGTCATAACCCATATAATATACATATAAGGATGCTGAGTAGTTTGCAAAAATGCCGACGCCCCAGGCGGGATTGAACCAGTGACCCCCCACTGCGGACAAGTTTCTTTGTTTCGTTCGTTTGTTCTACTTTTTACTCCATTTTAATTTTTACTTTTATTCTGTGTTTATTGGACATGTGTTTTAGATCTGTGCTGATATTGAGAATAAACAGAAGAAATGCTGTTTTAGCGATGCAGAATTTATATGTTTTGTCTGGAATGTATTAGTCATAGCATCCTGGAGCCATAGTCCGATTAGCGACGGAGTGATATTTTACCCGTAGTGAATATGATTGATTTTTATGAGCCCAATAAACCCTAGTTAAGTGGGTTTATTTTTAAATCAATGAGGTATGTTGGTAAGCAGGCGCTTGCCAGATCATTTGACTCTTTCGGGACCGCGGACGCACTTCCTCTGCATCTCTAACCCCGAGCGTGGAGACGCATTGAATGTATTATTATTTCAATTATATTATTGTTGTTATTTTCCTAGTTATTTACTTTATTTATTTAATTTGAACGGCCCGTCATCACAATTCTTATCATGCAGGTCCCAATACTCCTAGCTTTCGATTTGTTTTTCGTCTTCTTCTGAATGACGTAAAATACTGGTTGAGCATGGCTCCTTACAATCTCGAGGATATCCAGGCTGTGGCGCTCCACAGGGCGTAGTTGTTGGCTGCCGGAAAGAGTGGGGGAGGTGGGTGGGGGGATGGAACGCGGCTTTGCACGCGCCACGACGAGCATCACAACCACTCGGTCACGGCGCCACCCGTTTAAGTATAAAGAATTCTAAATGATGTTGATCGTGTTAGAAGTTTATTTCGTATATGAGATGTTGACTGGAAAATAAGAACAGTAATACGATTGGAATAATACAGCAATACACTCGATGCGTTCCCACGCTGGTGGTCAGAGATGCAGAAGAGGTGGAGCAGACCGTCCGGCGTTCCTGCGCCGGGGCTAGAGACACAGAGGACGTGTGTCCACGGTCCTGAAAGGGTGAGAGCTACTTTCGTAAGTGAAAACATAGATACAAGTAAGAAAGATGTCTATAAGGGAGAGAAAAAATCAAAGTTCTCTCACTTCTTCTTTTCCGCTTCCACAGGAATCTTCCAGACGGATCGTCTAATCGAACGATAGTTGTTGTAGAGAATCTCTTGACGCTACTTTTACCTGAAAACCTCTGATCTCGACTGCTCTCTAAATACTCCCCAATGAGGGACAACAACAACAATAAACAGCCTGCACGACTTTCTTTCGAGTAAATAAACAACAACAGATATCATGACATCAGATCGATCGGCTTTGATCTACCAACGCCACATAGGATAATACTGGAAAGGGGGAAAATTGTCACCTTTCCTCTCATTACCACCTATCCCTTTGGAACCGTGGACCCACCTCCTCGCGACACTAGTCCCCAGCGCGAAAGCGCGTGCATTATTGTCTTATTCAAATCCTTTTAGTATTGTTATTTTTTCTATTGTATGTTATATGCAAAGTTATGTTGTTATAAATATAAAAATAGCAACAATAATACGATTTGAATTCAATCCACTCCCATGCTCGGGGGTTGGAGATGGAGAGGACGCGGAGCAGACTGTCCAGCTTCGTCATGATGGCGGTCAGAGAGGCAGAGGAGGTGGGTCCATGGCCCCGAACGGGTTAGAGAATGTTTGGGTAATACTCGTGGATTTCAAGACAAACAAAACTCAGTGGTTTTTCATGTTTATTTGAAAATTTTCCGTGTGAAAATTCGCTAGGACCCTTTTCATACCACCGATTTTTCAACGGTTATATACTGCTATAATTATTAAGCCAATAATTTTGAGTAACGGGGACTAGTGGCCGAGTGGTTAGTGATCTCGGAGCGGCACGATGCGCGACAGGTACGCCACCCTAGTACTTTCCAATAATCAATAACGAACTCCTCTGGCTATCCTCGAGATGGCAAATAGATCTGCTCGACTTGTGTGCTACGACGTTCGTGAAGAAGTCGAGTAAGAAATTGAAGGCGAGGAAAAGTGACAAAACAGGCGTCGATAGTGCAATGGGTTAAAGCAGTATAAGGTAAAGTGCGGGTTCGAGTCCCGCCTGACGCAAAACTTCTGCACATCACTCAATATCACTGGGTGTATTTGTAACATCATGTCACCGCTATAGAGCGGTTAAATAAAAGGATTTCCCGTCTTTGACATAGGTGATAATGCTGAGCGGTATGCGAAACTAGTTTAGTGCTTAGCATGCGGCCCCGTAAAGAGTGCGACGCGGGTTCGATTCCTAACCGAGGAGGTACGAGGTTTGGCCTATCCCTTGGCATTCTCTGGGGATTTTCCTAGTGCTAGTCGTTTGCGTTCAATAAACCCTACTTCTACTACTGATAACCCCCTGAGAGCCAGCGTTGATAGGCAGGCGGCGTCACGCCGTCGCTTGCGCGGCAGTCAGGCAGGCGGCCTGGTTGTCTGTCTGCTTTCCCACGAGATGCGACACCGCGATTACAATAACTGAGTGAAAATTGGCGTCGCGTGGTGAACATCAAAAAGACCCTCATGGTCCTCAAAGAGTTAAGACAAGAGGATCGAACCAGTCCAGTCATTCCAGCGGCATTGAACCATGAACCTTCTCGGGTATAATTCGTTCTCAAACCGTATTGATGGCGTCACCGCGGCCCGTTATGGCTGCATCGTCTCGTTATTGACCTGCATTTTGTGTTGTTTACAATGTTGTTGTTTATCGTTTATTGATTTTGTTTGTTGTTTACGTTTGTTGCCTTTTTTCGTCGCAGATCAAAGTCCCGCTGGTTTTGCATTCATTTGTTTATCGTGCTGTCTTGTTTATTGTTTACTGACGTTTCCTATTATTGCCTACTCATGTTTATTCCACTGATATTTAACCGCTTTTTTCAATAAGTAGTACTTTTTATTACTTACTTTTAGCACCCCAAAAATTCTTAGTCTTATTTCTTTTGTTTTTGTCTAATTTTTTTCAAACACCATTTTCATTGGGACGCTGTGGCCGAGTGGTTGTGATGCTCGTCACGGCGCGCGTGAAGCCAAGTTCCTTTCCCCCCACTTCTCTCCGGCAGTCAACAACTACGCCCTATGGAACGTCACAGCCAGGCTACAAGGGATCCCCGAGACTACGAGGAGACTCGTCAACCAGTATTCTACGCCGTTCAAAAGGAAGACGAAGAACGAATTGGATGCTGGAAGTACTGGGATCCGCCACAGTGGAAAAAACGCTGTGGTGACGTACGAATTGGAGTGCTAATGTGCTATTATTTTTAATTATTATTTGTTTTTTTAATATTCAATATTTAATAAGGCTCATGCGGCGCAGTGGTTAGAGGTGCCCTGCGTCGCGTCGCGCACGAGGTCAGTGGTTCGATCTCGCGCTCATGGCTCACCAAGCCATCCATCCCTCCGGGGTCGGTAAATTGGTACCAGGCGGGTCTCAGACTTGTCTGGGAGGATAAACAGCACTGAGTCGGTTCAGCGGAGGCCACAGCGAGTCACTGTAAAGGTCATGTATGCATTCAATCACCTCAAACGAAGTTAAGAACTAAGATAATTGCATGGCGCATCCTTTGGGGATTGATCAACGCCAAGAGCTTTATCCTTTATCCTTTTTATTTGTTTCTGTCATCAATTTTTGCTCTCTATTTTATGCAAAAAGAAGGGCGAACAAGCACGCTCGCTTTTCGGTAATGAGATATTTTTCTAAAAGTATTTCTTCGATTCAGTCAGAATTCTTTTTATTTGACTGCCACTTGCAGTGGTATGATGTTGTGGTATACCCAATAATGTGGAGTGCTGTGCAAAAACATTTGCGTCAGCCGGGATTCGAACCCAGATCTCACTCTTTCCGGGAGCTATGCTTCTGGTACACCATAAAATCATACCATTGCAAGTGGCAGTCAAAATAGAGAATTTAGACTGATTATCGATACCGAATGTCTGTCAACACAAGTGGGTTCAATGCCGATTGCGGCTGCCCCGCCAGACCATCGACGGTTGGCTGTTGGCAGACAACGCGTTATAGCGTAAATAAGAGTGCTGTGCAAAACGAGCGTCGGTAGTGCAACGGTTAGCATACGCTCCCGGAAAGAGTGAGATCTGGGTTCGAATCCCGGCTATCGCAAATGTTTTTGCACAGCACTCCATAAAGACTGCTTAATATTGCTAAATTAATAAAATTACTAAGATTTTTGCTAAATACTATTTGCAGCACAGAACGCTTTTATCAGTAGTTGTTTTGTTTGGTAATTGTTGTTGTTTGTTTACCTTAATCTTTCGTGTTTGTTTCGTTTTTTTTTCGTGATCTTTTTTTTTGCCGTTTAACGATTACTTTTTGGGCATTAGTTTTCCATTGAATGGATGTTTCGAGGTGTTCATCTCATCTTTGACTACTCTACTTTGATTTTTTTTTCTTCTTAAAAGATTTCTCTCAGCTCACTTAACGTCTCTTATGTGACTTCTATTTATCGATTAACTTTGACGTTACATGAGCAACATGCGTACCATTGTTAGACACAGCACGCTGGGGGGTGAGAGACGCAGAGGGTTGGGTCCATGGTTCTGTAAGGGTTAAATTACATCAATATTTATTCGATATTACAAATTTCAGCCACTTCGTCTATTTCGAAGCTAAATTTGGTTTTGAAAAGATCTTCATAGTGCCTTGTACGAGCAAAAATTAGTCGACGTCTCATATCTAAAGGTGTCCAGGCTCTTAAAGTCAAAAATTTATACGACCACAACTCTCCATGAGCGTCTTTTGATTCAATATCAGCTCAATTGATCAATTTTTCTCCTACTATTTTCTGGAAAATCACCTTTCTAGCTCGCTCCTTGGTTCCACCTCTCGATATTCTCTTCGAATCCCACTGCTTTCCTAGCAGAATTCGCGACTTACTGGACGTTTTAGATGAGAATTTCGGTCAGTCAATTGATTCGATGGACGAAACCAGTGAGAAATATAGTTGATGGCAAGTGGACGACAACACATTATACGGTCAAAGTCAGTTTTACAGCGTTCGTTCGATGTTTAACACTGATTTTATTTTAGAAATCTTTCTATTTAGCCGCTTTCAGCGGTAGTATGATGTTATAGAGATATACTCAGTGATGTAGAGCGATATGCAAAACTTTTGCGTCTGCCGCGATTCGAACCCGTATCCCACTCTGTCTGGGAGCGCGTGCTCTAACCTGTTGCACTATTGGCGTCCGTTTTGCCACCACTCTTTCCACGCAGAAGGTTGGGTCATGGTCGCGAAAGGATAGATTCGTCCCCACTTAACCTGATGTACAGAAATGCTTGTGTCTTAGCTTTATTCTAAAACATTGTTCAGATTTCATGGGTTGTATCCTGTAAATTAATGCAATGTGAGTATTGTGAAGTTTGCTATTCAGTGGGTAAAGAGTAAGATAATCTTATCTCATCTAGACCCTGAAAATAGGATAGTCCAATATTTCTTCCAAAAACACTTCAATATGGTTCTAGGGCTTGAGATTTTCATCTTTTTTAAAAATTTCTCTGCAATCTCGGTAGTGGCTGAGCTGAGGCCTTCCATAAGGCGTTCGTCGGTTGATTGCAAAAGAGTGTTTGGGGGTGGAGGAAGGGGTGGGGGATTGAACTAGCGCATCGCTTATCACCTAATTTCTGATACATCTCGTGAATAAACACTGCGCTAATCCGATCCCAGTGCTTGTATGGATACATAGTAATTACACATCAAATTCAAAACTCTAGTAGGTTAGAGTCTCTTTTTTTTGGACTATTTTATCACCTCTTTTGGGCCTATGGAGATCTATTTTCATTGTTACAGTTTCTCTGAACACTTGCTTCTTTTTTATGCCTCACTTTATTGTCATTGTAGTTTTCAGTAATGATTGTTGAAGAATGAGCTATTGTGTTGGTGCTTTTGCAGGATCGTTCAAAAGATCCTCGTTGGAAAGATGTGGATATGTCAAGAGAGAGTGATCAGTACGATGTAGTAGTAGTTGGTGGAGGACCGGGTGGACTTTCAGCAGCAATTCGACTCAAGCAAAATGCAGAAAAGGATGGCAAAGGTATGTTTTCTGCTTTCGATTTGTCGTTTCCCATTGAATTACCTCGGTACTTTTCCGTTATCTGTGCGCATTTCCAACCCTTTGGGAACAGTGCGTCTTCTGCTTAGCTATTGAGTTCTAAGAGTCATTCGATAGCTCGAATCTTCACAGTTCTGATGATGTTCTTCATTTCTGAAGTGGCTTTTTCTATGCGCTATAGCACGAAAAATACAAATATATATTTCACACAGAGTGCGTTTTAAGCTGGACAGAGCTTTTCTCTCAGACTTTGAGTAATCATTCAATAGCCTAACTGTTAACGATTTCAATGGTAAACTTGGTTTGTGGGAAAAATTGTTATTACGCTGTAGTCAGCCGGAAGAAAATTGTGTTTCGCACTCGGGACTTAATTCTTGTCGGCGAAGGTGTGAGAGTAGCTGTGCATTGGTCGCGTGGTTGATTCATCGCGCGGCGCGATTCGCATGTGCTGCGTGATTTTTCTTCTTCAACTTAGGATTTCCTCCGATTTGAAAAAAAAATTCTGGATAGAACTCTTAACTCCAATACTTCCAGCTTCCCTTTACTCGTTCAAATGATTTTCGAGCATAGGTTTAGGCTGCTCAGGTCAGCTTAGGTCTAGGCATAGTAGCGGATATATTTGGCAATATAAAATGAAAAGCTTGAGCCTATAGATCGGTTGAAGAAAGTCTCTCCTGCGATTGAAGTGCAAAAAACTTAGAAACTCTACGAAACGGACAAAAAGTTTGAAAATTTTGCAGAAATATGCGCGAAAACGCTCCGTGTGTGAACATGTTCGTATTTTTACAGCTGCAGCGCAATTAAAAGGCCGTTCCTGAAAATAGGTGCACTTCAAAATTATCGAGATTTGAGCTACTAAAAGATCAAGCGCGTTGTTTCCGTATGGTCGAAAATGCGCATGGAAAACGAGTTGGTAGTGTTGTTTCCTACGAAAAATCATATATACTGTGTCTACCTCTTTGGAGACGACGGTTGAAATCGCTGCGCGCGATTTTCGTTATTTACCTTTATTT